CTTCTCCCCTCCCCTCCCCTCCCCTCCCCTCCCCCTCTCCGCTCTCTTCCCCTCCCCTCCGCTCCCCTTCCCCCTCCCCTCCTCTCCCCTTCCCATCCCCTCTGCTCCCCTTCCCCTTCCCCTCGGCTCCCCTCCCCTCGCCCCGTCCCGCTGACTGCCCTTGCCTCTCCTTCTCGTCCTCCCAGTACCTTACGCCAGTCTTCCGCCCACCTTCCCCCCTTCCTCTCGCCCGTGCACTCCCGATGACACTTTATATTTCAGGTTCTGGACCGCAGCCTGAATCAGCAGGATTATCACTGAGATCTAATCTCTTGTTTCTGCTTGCAGTAGTGCAGTGCCTGGTGATGAGGTGGAACAGACAAATGAACGCTACGAAAATGAGCAGGGAGTGTGGTATGATAAAGACAGGACAGAGGGATACTATGGGGAGTATGGCAAAGAGTACTCCAAGGACGAGGGCTACCAGAATGACAAAACGGACGACGGCTACGCTGGGGAGCAGTACGATGAATATGGGTATGATCAGTACGGGCAATACTATGACTATTACGGGTATGATAAGAACGCTGAGAACTATGACTATTCTCAGTATGGGTATTACGGCTATGAAGGGTGGGAGAACTACTACCAGAACTATGATGGTTATTACGGTTATTATGACGAGGCAGGGGTCTTTCATAATTACAATGAAAATTATAACTATGCTTATAGAAGCAATGAACATTTGGACACTCCCGAGGAGGTGCAAGGTGATAGTTACAAAGGTGGGTCGCTGGATGCCTACAAGATGATCACCGCTTACACCACCACAGCCACCACCACAGCCATCACCACCACCACAGCCATCAGCCCTGCGATGACCTTCACCACATCAACCACCACGAAGCCTTTGGGTAACCACGTGGCGCCCGCACAAAAGCCTCAGCCCAAAGCGGACGGAGGCCTCTTCAACAAACTGCTGCCACAACTTCCTATTTCCCTTTCATCCACCACCACTACTGCCGCTGCCACCACGACCACCACAACCACCACCATCACCACGACGCAGTCTAGCCGCCCCCTCCAGCAGCCAACCATCCCGCAGGCTAGGCCGGTCACAGCACAACAGGCAGCTCAGCAGCATACAACAGTGCAACAAAAACAACAGCAACAACAGCAGCAAAAGCCAGCAGCCGGCGGCTTTGGCTTGTTCGGCGGCATGAACAAGAAAGGTGGCCTTTTCAATGCCATGTCCGGCATAACGTCCAAAATGAGCGACACACTAAACACGGCAGTTAAAGAAGTTTCAGCAGTTGCACAACATGCGAATGTTGCAGCTCAACAGACCACCAAAGCGGCAACAGCTAAGGCGGCGGCTGCGGCCAAGTCAGCCGGAGTCGTGCCCCCCGCCGCTGCCCAGAAGGCGCCGACGCCCCCCACCGCGCAGCCCAAGCCCAGCGCCCCGATGACGCCGCGCACGACCCTCACCAAGCAGGAGAGCGTGCGCAGCGACAAGATGCCCGGGGACGAGGCCGAGAGGCGGTCCCTGGCCACGCTGCCCGAGGTCTCGGACCCGGAGTACCAGAGCGACTCCCTGAAGCAGGTGAGAGCGGCGGTCAGGGAAGCGGGAAGAAGGAAGGTCACTAATTAGTGTTTTCTCGATCTCTCACTTTTGGTTGTGAATTGCATGCAGTAAATGCGCATCAATTCTAGGGTAATAATTCAGAAATCAAGTGTAGATTCGGTTTTTATAAAGTTTTTACAAGAATTCTAATACTCTAATGAATGTTTTGAGGATTTTATGGTAATGACTTGGAAATGCAAAGCATAAAGGCAAACAAATCATTATGCATTAGTTCTCTTTTATTAATTTTCATTGTGTAGGTTTATTAAACAATAACATAATTGATTTCAATAAAGTCACTACATTTCCAGGTTTACTTGGCTTTAAAATTAATCATACTATTTCAGAAATATATAAAATATATACTAGATTCTATTAAATCAGCAAATCCCATCCTCGACAGGCCTTCTGGTTATTTACGTAAATGCTGGTTTAATGTTGCATATAGCAAGGGGCTTAATATACTTATTGGCAAAGAAGGTAAAGATAGTGAATTGTACTAGTGCAGATTTATACCTTACTTTATTTACAACACTGCCTGATTCCTACTTCTGATTAGAAAGATACCACATGACGTGACAGTAACATCTCCCCACCCTCTCTAGCAACAACTCTGGCACCAGGACAGCTTCGAAACCGCACACACAGACAGAACACAGCCGCGCCAGGACAGCTACGAGACGGCTCCGGAGGATTCCATCTACGATGAGGAAATCGAGCCCCATCCTCACGACGCGGAGTATGACGACTACTATTCTCGTCATCCTGGGGAGTATCAGGTAAGGATAATCGTCTACTGCCTGCTGGTCCCAATGGTATTGGTTTTGGGTGCACTCCGTTACTCTGGGCTCTTTTCTTGTAGGTCACGACACAGTATCTAGAATGAATCAGGCATGAGTAATGCGGTTATGTACTATCATAGCACTAGAACATTAAAAACATTGAGATACTTTTTTACGCCTCTTAAAAATATTATGGTAGTTTAGGTGCATTGTGCATTAACAGTAGAATTAGTCAATCTGTACGGCAGGTGATATTACAAATTTGACTGCCAAACCCAAGGCCTATTGGAATTTTGGTCATAGAATGCTAACTGCATTACATAGGCTCTTGGCACTGTAAATTTACAAGACTTTCGGAAGTAAGATGTGAAGATAGTCGTAGGAGTATGCTAAACTTAGCCTCTATAACCCTTAAGGACTCATACTACGGTGACTACTACGATGATGATCCTCACTATCGGTACCGTGATGACTTCGAGGACTCCTTCGATAATGACGATGTCTCGAGTATTGTGGACACAGACAGGAACCTGCCTCGCTATTCTTCGCAGGTGAGAAGGCCGGCCAATGCGCTGCCTCGGAGTGGCTGCCGCGGCTCTGCTCTGTCGGTGTTGAAGTGTTTGGCAATATCGTCTGGTGATGAACACAGTTTTTGTCTGGATGTTAGTTAGAGAAAGAATAGGAGGAAATGAGATAGGGACAGAAATATGTATAGGATGAATTTTATTAATGAGGGAATTAGTTAAGGTAAGTTAATAATTTGTGTCAAGTGACCTTCGTATCACTTTCTATTGATGAAAAGTACGATTACCTTCTTTTCACATTTTTCTTACTTCACCTTTTAATTTTTTTAACATCTCTTTTTTCTTATCTAATCTTTTGCTTTTTTGTTTTGCGATAAACTATGTTTTTGCAATACATCACTTCCCGATGACTGCTTTAATGAACTGAAATAATATAATTGGTCAGGAAGAAACGTTTTTTACCAATCTTTCGAAAGATAATTATTATACTGTAAAGCGATGTTGATCCTGGGGAGAGCCTCTGGGAAATTTTATAGTTCCCATATAGCAGACAGCTTGTGGCCACAGTATCTGAGGAATATATGACAAAAAATGATAGCACTTAAAACTGGAATATTTACAGCTATCAATTCCAGCTATCAAGTCATGAGAAATTAAGAAAGGCTTTTATCAGTATAAGATGAGAGACAACAAGCTTCAGAATAGGAAGAAGACAAATCACATACAAATAAAAAATGGAGAAACAACCAGGCACTTCTCTGTGGATTCGGGAGTAGAAACCATACCAGGAAGAGGACTGAGGAGAATTCAATTGTTGCTGTTAAGGACACAGATGTTGACCGGAATGAAACAGTGCCCTTGTACTTATTGAATTAGAAGTATAATTTTGGAGGGGCATTCAGAGATGTAGTTATTAGGTGGAATGTGTCCTAAATTTACTCTCCTCTTCAAACACTAATTCGAATTACTAGTTATGTACCTCTTGTTCTAAAATGTGAACTTTCGCACTATTAGTTAAGGCAGTAGAATAAACCAGGCTAATTCTATATCGATTACTAGTCATGAGATGATAGAATTTGTGACGTTAGCGAATGTATTCTCTAGTTTTACTGCTTGAGGTAGCTCAGATTACTTAATAATCATATAGTGGTGGTTTTCTACAGATTACCAAGTAAGTTGCAAGATTTTATCAGTTGCTTCATTCATGCATTTTGAAAAATATTTTTAAATGCTATGAAAACTGACCTCACCTGGTCAGAAGAGTAGGTTTTTCATTTTTAAATGCATATATAAAGTGTACGGAACCCCTTTAAATGCTTAAATGACAGTTAAAATATAATATAAAAAGAAGTGGATGTCCCATATGCAGGGATTACAGCCACTGTATACGGCAAAGCATCATCCAATTGCATTGATAAAATGCTTGCAAGCTAAAGATTCAACACAAATAGCAGTCATTTTTCCCAATATACTTACACTTCCTATGCTAATGTCTTGCATTTTATTCTCTTTTGCCTGTTTTCTATCATTTACTCATTTATTTATTTACACACTTTATCTCTGGATCTCGGTAAAGAGAGACGAAAAGGTAATGGCGGTAAGTACTACTGTATATAAACTAAGGTTATGCTGAACCTCCTTACGAAAACTGCTGTGGTTTTCGTATGCTCTTCCTCCCCAGCTTTGTCAGTGATATAATATGTATATACATCTTGTACATATGCACATTTACATGTAGTTGTTAGAGTACGAAATGATGTTCTTTACGATTGCCTTTCATGCGAAATGTTCAATGCAATAAGCAAAGAAATTCCATTGACTGCAGACTTCTTATTGCCGTAGCTGCCATGCGTCCCATTAGACTTAAATCTTACCAAAGCCCACTTCGTTGGCACAGGGATCACAGGAGAGGTTCATCGACGGGGACGGCCAGTACTCCACCGAGTACGACAGCGGGACGGACTCGAGAGAGGTGGTCAACGCCAGGATAGAGCCATACCCAGGAGACTTGAGCAAGGTGAGTTCGCGGATTCAGGTGAAGGTGGCTGACTGCCGGGTGAGGCGAGCCCGTTGCCGTTTCATTGGAGGTGGTTTGGAAATTAGCCCAAAAACCTAAGGGAAGAAGAAGATAAGATTGTACGAATCACTCACTGACACCCAAAATTAACCGTCAGACAACATAAATATTTAACAAGTTTGGTAGATATTATTTTTTTTAGTATCCGGGACAATGAGCCAAGAAATATTACTCAACTTTGTCTAACCCATTACCTCTTTATATTATCTCACTTAATCATTATTCACAGTCATACATGCGCACTTCAAATCATCAGGGTTTGTCTTAGATATAAAAAAAACAAAACATTTACGTCTTACAACACGAGATTAGACATACAAATCCAGTCAACAGTCTACCCATATCAAATAAAACAGAAATGTCCTTCATACTTAAAAATGATCAATTCCGTAAGAGAAGTAGAATACTATGGAATAAGAAGACTCACACTGTGCAGGTAAGTCAGCATTTTGATAACAACAGCAGGAACTATGATTATATCTGCTCCTCTGATCTGTAGAGAAATGATTCCGCTGATTAGGAATTCTTTTGAGTTGTGGTTACAGTTAGAGCTTTGTATAACAGGAAATAGGTCTATTTGGCAATTGAAAAAGTTCATTTATTTTAATTAAATAGATCTAGATCTCCCTTTATAGTTCAGAGTTCACATATTTGTGTTATATATGCTATGAAATAATTTCTGATTTAGCTTACGAAAGCAATTAAAAGCAGTTTGCAATAGGTAGGAGGGGATGTTACAATAAAGCCAAGTTGATGACAGGGCGTAGGTTTTTCTATCTGTTTCCCTTTTAAACTGGTTATCTATCAGATTTGGTTAGAATGGGAAAACGACCGTATTTTTTAACTCAGTGAATTAGAGTTGCCTGGCTGCTTAACTATAGCTTCAAGATATACATTTCATTTAGTTCATGCTGATGTTATTCATAATTTTGTCTGTAGTGAGGATCACATGTTTGTTGTATAAACCATAGACAGTGTAAGTATAATTTGTGTGTAGTATAATCTTTGTTGTAGAGCTGTACATGTGTCATGTTCTGTACTTCTGTGGCAACTGTGTACATCTGTGATGACCTGAACAGTACTGTATTTAAGCTGTAAAGTGTCATTGGCAATAGTTGTGCGGTCTTGGGTTTTATTTATTTCGTTTTGTTTTGTTAAAATAATCACTCCTTCTATACACTTAAGACTTTATTATTAAAATGTATAATTGACATATTATCAGATTAGGATAATTAAGTTTATAACACAGTCATATATCTTTTCTAATTCCTAAAAGGTAATTACTGAAGACATACATATAATCATCCTAGTCAACTCTTTTCTATTCCATTTTCATCATTCTTCTTTCCTTTCTTTATTATTCAAAAACTTCTTTCTATCCCTTCCTTTGTAGGCAAAAGAGGAGGAGCCAAAGGAATCTAAGGTGAATATTTCTGCTTACATAAATCCTGCTAGATATTTCATACTCTGGTTCCTTACGTTTGTAAACCAGCGAACCCATACCGAGTTGTTCATCAAATCTATCTTTGGTCTTTTCAGCTCATAATGCTTTAATTGCTGTACAAATACAGTTGGCATAAACAAAAATTGCTATATATATTTTTGGGTATTTTGAATATTGGTTTTAAAAGTTATTTCCATGAAGTCAAAAGGAAATGAAGGTAGATTATATCAGAATCAGTAGACTTAGTAACGCACAGGTAACACCCTAAGTTGATGTTTATCAATACCCTTCACAAACTCGATTTTATAAGATATACATCTATAGTTGTATATTTCAAACCGATTTGATTTTTTAATAGCTGCATGTCAAAAAAGAGAGAAAAAAAAGCAGACTTGAAACTCACTCTTCATTCATTCATCGTGCTGTAGGTTACAACCTCTCGACACACAAAGCTGTAGTGTTATGTCACCAGCCACTCTTTAAGTAAAGCCTCTTAAAACGGGGAGCAAATAGCCCTTAGAAATACCAGTTGACAGCGTTAGTAGAATGCGCACTTCTTACCACTGACTGGATGGAATCACTCCGATTTTCCATGTAGCACAAAGTCTTAGGACCACAGTTACGTAACACCTTTTCTAAATGTAGCCTTTTGTGGTTGGCAGTGTTGTATAAAGATAAAAGTGTGTAATTCCTTTAGCCCTAGCTGACAGAAGAGCAATTTTGGCAAAGCAATGCAGAGATCACTGTTTTCCATAGAGATCCTAGAGTTACCCAGAAAACCTTAATGGACGTACTTCAGATCTACTGGCTCTGTCTTTCACGTAGCTAGATATTATTTTTATTCACTGAAACATCATGTTTTATGTTTTGGAACTTTACAACCCTAACACAAGCAGTTTCTCTTTTCCATTATGTTAAACCTCTTTGACATCCCCACAAACTCGTAAACAGAAGTTTTATTGTAAATGAATAAATAAATAGTGTTATTAACAATGCAAAGACCTGAATAATGAGAAAATTCTTCATGTAATATTGACTCCTCCGTACCTCCGTTTCCCAGATTATTGATTTCAAGATGAAGAGTCGGGCGGAGCAGGCAAAGGCTGAGAGCGATGCCCAGGTGATTTCTAGTTACTCAAGTGCATGACTAACTCTTGCTATCGGCAGCACTAAAGATATGATCATACAAGTCGCTAAATATGAGACAACCAACCCCCCCTCTCCCACCTAACCTGAGATAAGTGCACTAGAGTCTTGTCCGCCACAGCACTCGGACCTCCCCAGCTTAGTCTTGCCTCTAGTCCTGTTAGTCTGTATGTTCTCTGTCTTACTCCCCAACCATGATCCAAGTAGAGCCTTGTCTTGACTCTGTAAAAGACAGCTCATACAAACTATCACCATAACTGTAACTTCAAATAACAGGCAACTTAATGAATATTGATAAAACAGACATAATTATTGATGTTGTTGATAATAAACGAGCTTAGAACAAAGCATGGAGAGAGAGAGCATGTGCTACTTTGAACAAAAAAGGAAGAGAAGGCAGGTTCTGACGAAGTAAGCATGTTACACGACTACTTCACTTAACACATGCAGCAGTTCCACTCTCACCGCAATAGTCCCCGCCACATTCCCTGGAACCATTACCAGCGCCGTGTGTAAGAGCCACAAGTTGTTGACAAATCACTCTTGTTTTGGTCAGGAGAAGAGTGATGCTTAGACAGTGTGTGCGTCGACAGGCCTGGTCAAGGTTCAAGGAGAGTGTGAGGGTCTCTAGTTACCAGCTTTTCGCCACGAGTGGCGTAGGCGTGGCAGCTTTTTGTGTTTGATAACACCATAATGTTGTTCCTAGGCACCCCCGGGGGGAGGGAGACCAGCGGATTCTGCAGCATCTAAAGAAATGAAAATGATGAATTTCCAATCAAGGATGAAGCAAATGACCGCAGATGCAACTGTATCTGCAGCAGAAAAGGTGATAATCTGCATGCCTTTCTTGCACGATCATGCCTTTATTGTGGGTAAAGAGAATGAGATGACAAGTGACACCTTATCATATAGTATATATTGTTTCATTGATAATGTTGCCCAAAGTGCAACGTCGGAAATTAGAATTCAGTTATACTTTATGACATCACATTGTGCAACATTCCTTGTCATATCTCGTGTATGACACATCATAGGCTGAAAGAAGCACGGAGAAACCTGAAGGCCAGGTACAGGCTCAGCCTGCTGAGAAAGCGCCTGAGGGCCAAGAGCAGACACAGGCTGAAGCCTCGCAGCCTCCTGTCCAGGCTCAGACAGATGGCCAAACGCAACCTCAAGCCGAGGTCGATCAGGGTCAAATGAAAGCTCAGATCCAAAAAGAGAAACAGCTTAATTTTGAGGCAAAGTTGAGGCAGGCGCAGGAAGGCCGGGCAGGTCAGCCAGGCCCGACTCAGGTGAATATCGGTGTCCCTCATCTACACATCTTGGAGGATGGAAAGAAGAAAGATTTGGAATGTGTCAAGGCTCTTAACTGACTTTTCATTCATTTTATCAACGACTGCTTCAACAAGAAATAATACTTCTGGCATTTTTTTATATCACGTCTACCTGTCGGGCATGTTGTTTGGCCTTTCTTAGAGCCTCGCCTGAGCATGCTATACTCATGGCTTATTGCATGGCGATTGCAAACGATGGGGAAAACTTATACCCAACTACTAAAGATACTATTACCACTTACTATTTTACCTATTATTTTAATGATGTGTTCTATTCACATATCCTCTACAAGTGGACTTTAGATGCTCTTTCTTATCAAGTGATTGATTACAAGTGAGCATGTCAGAATAAGTTAAGATGTTTTCTTTTTTTTCTAACTTCATCTGATACATTTTTAAATTCATAATTGACATGAAGCACCACAACAGCATGAGTGCCTTGATTATTAAATCCAGTCGATCCTGAGTTTGATTATATGGAAATACATCATAATATCAATCACAATTACTATTCACATTGTATATATATTCCTGCAAATGCAACATTATTTTTGTATGCTTTACTAAATCCAATTATCTTTGCTTTGCGTTTTATATTTTTTTCCGAAGTGATGTTTACATTGTTCAGTGACTGAAGTTTTTGCCTTAATTTACTTTAGTTTAGGAATAGTAACAAGTATGTCAGGAAGGGACGAGTTTTCTCAATTGCAATTGTCCAGTTCGTTTGGGGATTCCCCTTTGAACAATTTGAATTTAATTTTCACATTTCAACAGAATTAAAGGGTTAACGTCTTTGCTGTACTTCTGGGTCATTTTAGCCCTACACAAAGAGAGGTAACATCAGCCATACTTTGTATCATGATGCAATTTACTAAGCATGGAGTAATTTCAAATGTCGTATAAGTGATGTAATTGCTACGTTCCAGAGTAACTATGGTTCTGTAATGTTATATTATGCATGTAAATATATTTTAAAATACAACACATGAATTCAGAAATATAGTTGATTTAGTTTT